TCCATTTTATAAGACTACATTAACATATGTAGGCCTAATAATTTATACTACACACAAATTTAGTCATTGTAATTATTCACAAAATATAAAAAGCAAACACAAAAATGTTTACAACTTTTCACAGTGTTGTATTTTGGTTGCAATTAAGTAATGTTGTAGTACAATGTTTTAAAATAAATACATAATAATAATAAAATGTAACCAAATTAAAATGTTTTAGAAACGTTGTGAAAATACCAACCTGGTATGTTTTAAGTAGTCAAAAAAATAAATAATAATAATTATATCATGCAAACATCATGTTTGTCTACAACGAAAACAAAACTAGACCAAACTGCAATTGTTATTTTATAATAATTATATTGCAATCTACTGTTTGCACTAAAACTAAAGATTATATATTATATATTTAGATTTTTTTATTATTATTTAATACGTTTTAAATTGATTTGAGAAACTGTTGGCGATTTTTCAGCGCTTTAATTGCAGGCTACATTGTTATGCCAGTAGGTGGCAGCAAGGGACTGTCTTATTGAGTTAGTTAACCATTCATTCAATGCTGATTCATTCTATTGTAGCGCTGAGTTCTGTGACCCACCAAATTATGTGATCCGAGGAATGAGGTTAGGGGTAGGATTAGGTTTGGGTTTAGTAGTAGGTCGAATTAGCTCAATACAGATTTGATGGGTCACAGAATTCGGCACAACACTGGAAAAATACAAGGTTGTACTTGTAAACAAGAATGTTTTCTGAACTTTGAACAAAACTGACAAACAACACTGCGCTCGGGTAATGGTTCATTACATAGAGATCAATGCAGTGACTAGCGCTGATGCCTGTCATGTGAAATCTCCTTGACCACTGAAAGAATACTATGACAAAGATATCACCTTATGGATATACAGCAAATGTGGAGGGAATTATGCTTCACACTGGTGCATCTATAAATATATGTATTATAGCAAATACAGCATTATGGTCAGTTCACACTGTTACAAAAACTATTAAAAAACAACATGCTTATTTTGTTTTGTTTGGTCAGTGTGTTCACCCCGTTGGAGTATGGCCGTGTGAATTGGCTTTTAGGTGCTTTGGAAGAAAAATACATTTTTTAATGTTTAATTGCTATTAATGTTAATTTCTTAAATAAATTTCTGTGTTTTTCTTAAACATTCCCTATTCTTGCAGTGTTCAAGTGTTCATGTCGCTGAGTAATATCTGCATGCACCTAAGTCTGAAGAGAACACATAATATGGTAGTAGACAGCAATCCATATGAGAGAGAAGTCTGGTGTGGAGGCTGGATCTGGAACTGACTTCTGTCCAGGTTGTCACAACATCTCTTGATTATCTTCACGAACTGCCCTGAAATACAATTCTAACATTAACAATGATTGTTAAAAATATAGCTTGAGGCTCTTACATTCACAATGCTCATTTTGGCCTCGGTGGTGAAGTGTGCAGAAAATTCTGCCGGACTTAGATTTAGTCTTTGGTGAACAGCTTTCAAGAGTGCAAATGAGATTTTAAGTTTTAAGCACCTTTCAGGCTCGCGTGAGGTTTCCAGCAACAAAGTCTACTTGAACAAACACTTGAAAAAAAAATAAATAATAATAATAATATAAAAATATTAAATATATATATTAAATAAAATATTTATATATATACTGTATATATATACACATACATATAATTTTACCTCAGACTGTAACCCAGACCGCCTCGTGTGCTATTCAACAGGAAATTATCAAATTAAAAATTGGGAACTTAATACAAAACATTAAAAATCTATAGTTACATTTAACGTTAGATTGGCAAATCGGCAAATAAAAAAATGATTTATAACTCCCACCTTCACCATCCATCCGGCATGGCAGATGATGACCATTACATTTGAAGTGAGACACTTTCACAGTACTCCGGTTCTGTCTTACTGTTATTAATTTTAATTTTAAAGTACTTTTTTATCATCTGTGTCTCATTTCAAATTATGTTGGACCCCTCTGTAGGTTGCTGTATATCAAGTGTCCTCATAATGCAGAGTTAAATGACATACAGGACTCAAAAAAAAATGGATATTTATTTGATATATTTTTTTAATATTTGATACACTTTTGAACGGTAATGTATGTTTGAGGTTTACTTACTAGTCAGATGGTTCATAGCGCCTTGCAAATGTTCTTCGACAGGAGGTTCGCTCCAACTCTGCTGCACGGCCATCAGCATGGAAGATTATAGGAATATAAACAACTTGTCGCTGAGCCAACAATATGTAGTATACAATGTCAGGTTTATTAGAAATAAGCAAACTAGAGCAGAGGTGAAATGCAGAAAACAGAAAAGAATAATATGTTACAGGATATACAAAAAAAAAAAAAGCTACCAGAATTTACGTTCTCAGGTTTTACAGATGCATGGTAATATAGGCGAAATATATTGTGAAAAATGCATAAAAAGTTATATAATATGATTTCTCAGATCACCTGTGTTTCCTGTATGTCTGTCAGCATATTTTTCTTGGAACTTCCTGTTTTAGAGGGTTTTTTTCTGACACTCCTGAAATCACAGTACAGTTTCATCAATATTTGTTTACAATGAAAGATCAAAACGAGTTTGAAAGAGTTTCAGCCCATGTAAGTGACGTCACCGATTAACCGTACAGTGCACACTTCTAGGTTAAATTAATTAGCTTACTTCCATTTATTCATTGACAAACTGCCAGCAAAACATTTACAAAACTATCAAAAATAATATGTGATTAAAAGCCAAAAAATAAATAAGAGTTCAAATCTAGTTCCTCTTATACGGTGCATTCCAAACGGGATATATCGCCCTACGAAGGGCACTTCGGAGTGAAAACAATCATGGCCGCCATATTGAAGGTCATATTGGTCGTTCCAAACCGAAGTGCTCAAAACTGGTCACTTCACAGGGCCCTTCGGAATGAAGGATTATGGACTGATGGACACTTCGGCCCCCCATGATCCTTTGCGCTGATTCTTTGCATGATGATGGCACCTCCGTGTGGGCACATGATGATGACACAGAAGGGCACTTCAAGAAACAGTTGTTTGGTCCCCTACACCCTTCAAACCTGCGAAGCTCTCACGCGGAGGGTAAACCCTTTGAAGGGATTAGGGCATAGGGATGAGCCCTTCCGAATGGAACGCAAGTTCTACCACTTATACCCTGTGTTCCATTCGGAAGGGCTCATCCCTATGCCCTAATCCCTTCAAAGGGTTTGCCCTCCGAGTGAGAGCTTCGAAGGGTTGAAGGGTGTAGGGGTCAAAAAAACGTGCATTTTTTGGAACGCACTTCTGCGTCATCTTAACGAGACGATCAAGCAGGCGCCTTGGTCGCACATTTTGTACGCTGTTGACCCCCAGTCGTCTTTTACGTTAAATATAATGTATATTTGTACATGTAATGTAATATTTATTTGTAACGTATATTGTGTCTATTTGAATGGACTGATAAAGGTAGCTGCAAAGTATTTTGTTGAAGTACAATGTCATTTTGACCATAACAGTGTACCAAATCTAACTCGTATAAATATTACAGTAGTATAGAAAAATACTATACATACATTTATAGGCGAAGTCGAACTCTGTGACTCATGATTGTTTTCACTCCGAAGTGCCCTTCGGAGGGCGATATATCCAGTTTACAAATACATAAAACTGTAAATGGAATGAGAATAGGAAAACATTATTGAGAATTTACAACAATGTTTGAAGTCAGTTTATTTATAATAAGCTATAAAACATTATAATATAATATAATATAATATAATATAATATAATATAATATAATAATAGCTTTAGAAACAGTAAACGTGGTGTAGAAATAAGGCATTAATATATTTTCACATATATGTACACACATATAAACACATGCAACATGAGCTTTATGTTCTATGCAGTTTTAAAATATATATATTTTTAAAAACATTGTACTACAACATTACCTAACTGCAACCAAAATACAACGTTGTGAAAAGTTGTAAAAGCGTTTTGTGTTTGCTGGGTACTGACCTTGTGAACTTGCCTGCGGGACTACAAGACCTGATCTTGCTTTACAATAGCTATGTAATTGCCATAATTGTTGTTTCCTATTTTTTGTGTGTAAAAAAAGAGAGAGAGAACAGATCTTTTGTACTTCGATGTGTGTTTATACTTTCAGATCCCGGACAGAGGAACTAACTTGACTGAATACAATGATGAGAACTGAGAAGAATCACCCATAATAACCGAAACCACACAGTTACATGAGCAGAAAAAGAAGGTCATGAGCACATCTGCCGTCTGCCAGCACAGTTTCAGTCAAAGGGCATCTTTACACAGTTAAAGCTGCTCTGTGCCTGCTCAGAAATCTGTGGCAAGACATAATGCTGAATGAAAGCCTGACTAAATAACACTCTGAGCCACCTCAGCCCCTATATCAAAGGATATGGTTATCATTGCAGTGTAAATGCATTCATGCCACCTCTGAGCTGCAGCTTTTAACAGCCGCTGTACAGACGCCTAAATGCCGCTTCAAAAGCGCTTCTGTGTCGGCGTTGCAGTGTAAATTTTGAAAAGAGAAGTGTGACAAAAACACATTCTTCAGTGTCAAATCAGGATATGTGTCACCTGACTTGCCAATTAAGGAGGTGTCATCGCTATAGCCTATAATTAAACCTGTGCAAAGAATCATGGGAGTGTGCATCCATCCAAAGTCCTTTATTACGAAGGAAGTGGCCAGTTTTGAGCTTCTTGTTTTGGAATGACCCCATATGGTGGCCATGACTGTTCTCACTGCGAAGTGCCCTTCGTAGGCGGATTGATCCCATTTGGAACACAGCCATTGTCACTCAGGTAATGAAGTCTCACCTGTATAACCGGTCCGCTGTCATACCACGCACAGCTACTGAACCACCCTCAGGGAGAAAAGCTACTAACTAATGCTTCGATGAGCGAAGTGTTACACACGTAAAATAATTTCAAAAGCTTTTAAAAACATTGATCAGTATGAAGGCGTAGCTCATGAATATTAACGAGGTCGCGTTCCTCGCCACCGGTTGGCCCGTGCTGGTCACGCCCCGCCCACCCGCGCTACACCTGAGTTCAGAGGCTGCACCTGAGAGCGACTGAAGGACTGAAGGGAGATGCAGAGACAGAGAGAGAGAACAGAACACGGCAGAATGCGAAGAAACACGCGTTTGCAGCGATGGACCCCGTTTCATTGATCGCACTGTGTTTGCTCTGGACTAGAACATCAGGTAAACCTCACACTCTTTCTTTTCAACTCTCAACTCAATCGCATGAAATAGTCTGTGATTGTTTTATCTGAATGTCTCCTGTTCAGTATGTGATTTAGAGTCTTTCACAGCCGTGATATTTATGACTGTAATTAACTGATGAAATATTACGGCTGTAATTATGTCATGTGTGATTACTAAATAACAGTATAAATCACTCTAGGTAGTGAAGCTTACACATTATATCTGTCGTTCCAAGTCCATCTGGAGCTGAAGCTGTTTCAACCCAACCCAAGCTGTTCATTTTCTGTTTTATGAGTCATATCTGTTCTCTTTCCCTCTTGTATGGATGTATTACAGCAGCGCATAATAAAACAGCATCCACAAACATGTGCTTTCACCTTATAGCAATGACAGGAGCACTTTAACAAGCGTTCTTCTTCTTATTAGTATGGCTACTGTCACTGTTGTTTATGCTGTAAGCATGCTCATGTTTAGGTTTCTTTAACCTCAGCTTCAGGAACAACAGGAAGCAGAGTTGCTTTTGTGTCTCTTCCTGTGGTTTTATGAAATCTGAGTTATTTTAACAATGCCTGAATGTCACTGCATTTCCTGCTGTCGCTGTGAAGCTCTGAAGATCAGATACAATTCAATAAGATAAGATGATGTTCAAAATATGAATATGGTCAGTGTGCATAAAAATCCGTTGATCTGTTGTATTGTAGCATCATTTGTTGAGGGACCGCCTGAGCCTCGTAATGTCCACTTCTACTCAGAGAACCTGAGGAACATTGTGAGATGGACACCAGGAGAAGGATCTCCCAATAACACGGTCTACACTGTGGAATACGCCATGTGAGTGACCCCTGGAAATAAAGCATGCTCAAAGACTCTTTCTTGAGTTCTTCAGAGAACCGTCCACGGTCAGAATGAAGCCTAATTGGACTCACAAGTCAATGTCTCAAGTGTCATTGCGTTAGAGACAAGACATCAAAGCAAGAGTCGTTTATTTTTTACGAAGCACAAAAAATGTTTTACAATCAAACCATTTGACATAAAGAAACGTTTTAAATGTTAAAACAATAGATGTAGTGTTGAACACGAAGACAATGTCAGTATTGTGTGATTTGTGAAGCATTAATGCACTCTCAGAAAAAAAGGTACAAAAGTTGTCCTTTAAAGAATCCTTTAAAAGGAACTAATATGGACCGTGACGGTGCTAACATCCATCTTTTAGGGGTAAATAAGGTACAAAGTGTAACATTTGAAAAGGTACCACCCCAGTGACAGGTTTTAGTATTTTTGAGAGTGTGGTATTGATGGGAAAATCGAATAATTTTACTGACTTGGAACTTTAAATGACATTGAGCAAAATGAGCAAATCTTGATTCAAGCTATTTCGTTCATTTGAGTCAAATTAAAATGTCAAATACCCCCAACATGTCATCTTGTGCAAACTTCAAACCAGTGTTATTTTAGTGTCATTGAGAAACTACTATAGTTTTTAATTAATGTTGTGAATTAGTTTTTTTTATATTTTGCATTTTATTGAAATTTTAGTTACGTTTTAGTTAAAAGTTTAGTTAAAATTTAACAAAAGTTACATTTTGTTGCGTTTTGTCATTTGTATTGTTGTTTTTAATAGTAGTAATAGTAATAGTTTAGTAGTTTATTAATAGTTTTAATTCATTTTTATGTTTATTTTAGTACATCAAGTTAATAAAAATGAGAAATGTTGCCTTGGCCACTGAAATGAAATGAGTTTAACATTTTTATATTTTATTTGATTTCAGTGAACATTTTTTTATTTCAAGTAACAAAAACATACACTCTTAAAAATAAAGGTGCTTCAAAAGGTTCTTCAAGCGATGCCATAGAAGAACCATTTTTGGTTCCACAAAGAAGCATTCAGTCAAAGCTTCTTTAAAGAACCATCTCTTTCTTACCTTTTTATAATCTGAAGAACCTTCTTTCGCCACAAAAACCTTTTGTCAAACATTGTTCTTCAGATGTTAAAGGTTCTTTATGGAACCATTTAGACAAAAAGGTTCTTCTATGGCATCGTGAAGCACCTTTATTTTTAAGAGTGTCGTTTTTTTTTATGGTTTCAGTATTAGTTAACTAACCCTGTTTGAATAGCTGCGTCTCATTTGTCGGCTACATACGCAAGGCTATTTTATTTCAGAAAAGTAACCAGTACATTCTAAAGAAAGAAAGAAATGACAGTCATTTACAGCTACTTTTCTGTAATGAGACATCTTTGATGACGTATACGGCTGATAAATGTGTCCTCCGTAGGATGCAGCTTTCGAAATGAGACGCAGCAAATATATATATTAAAAATTGTAGTTGTTATTGTCACCAGCTGGTTTGAAGACATTGAGACTTAAAACATGATGAAGAACATCTTGCAGTGTTTGTTTGCACACTTGCTTTTTTGTCCGCTGTATGAGCTGAACCCACAGACCAGTCTGTGATCTGAACTGTTGATGTGACACGAAGTATTCTGTGTTCCTGCAGTTACGGCGATGAGGAGGAGAACGGCACTGAGCAGGTGAGATGGAGGCGTGTGGAGCACTGCTCCTCCGTCACACAGAACGAATGTGACGTGTCTCAGGAGACCTTTAACCTGGAGGAGGACTACTATGCCAGAGTCAGGGCCGTCAGCGCAAACACACAGTCCGTCTGGACCGAGAGCACGAGCCGCTTCAGCCCAGAGTTCGACAGTGAGTCACGCCTGCCTGCTGATGATGTACAGCCAGAAAAAAAGTGCAAAAATTGTACCTTTAGCGGTACAACAGCTTGTCATGAGGACAGAACCTTTAAAGGGGTCATATGATGCTGCTAAAAATAACATTATTTTGTGTATTTGGTGTAATGAAATGTTTATGTGGTTTAAAGTTAAAAAAACACATTATTTTCCACATACTGTACATTATTGTTTCTCCTCTATGCCCCGCCTTTCTGAAACGCGTTGATTTTTACAAAGCTCATCGGTCTGAAAAGCGAGGTGTGCTGTGATTGGCCAGCTATCCAGTGCGTTGTGATTGGCTGAATACCTC